CCCCCCCCCCCCCGCCTGGCTGCCTGGCTCTGGGCCGCGGGGAGGGGCAGCCCAGCAGGGGCGGTGGCTTTGGGCCCCTGGCCTATTCCCCTCCCCAGCCCCCCCCCCCTCCTGGCTTCCTCACCTCCAGTGGGAAGAGCGTGATCCTCCCTGCCCCTGGCACGCGGGTGACTGTGGCATTCAGGACCAGGGGTGTGAACAGGCGTAAAACTTGGGGCTTAACAGTGGTTTTTATTACTGATTCCAAATCCACTTCCCTCCGTGACCCTGTCCGTCCCGAGGCGCCAGGGCGGGCCAGTGAGTACGGGGACTCGCGGCGAGGGGGGTAAGGGAGGCTGAGGGGCGTCCTGGAGTGTGGCCCCTTCACTCAAAACGAAGAAGGAAGAGCGAACTCATTCTTGGGGGAATTAACCCTTCTGAATCCCTCAGGTTGATGGCGACTGGCGAAAGTCACGCGAATTCTCTTTCAAATCCCTGGAACTACTCCGCCAGGACTGAGCCGTGGGCCGTTCATTCCTCAGGGCCCACAGGCAGGCATGTCCCCAGGTCCCCAGGACGGAGCCCCTCAGGGAGCGAGCAGCAGGTCTCCTGTCCCACATCTGCTGTGGCTCCCGGTGTCCCTGGGCCCCCCCCATGCAGCCCTCACTTCGCTGCCTCCTCCCCCACCCCCAGCTCTGCTGTCAGAACCCGCCAGAGCGGCATTTTGGGGAGAAATATCCTAACATCTGCAGTTTGCTTTGAAATACCTCCAGGAATCACATGAAGCAGATGTGTGAGAAAGTAAATACGGCGAAAGAAAAAAAAAGTATTTACTTAATCACTGAATCTACAATTTCAACCTTTCTGTACCCTTGGAAGTCTTTGCAATAAAATGTTGATGAGAATAATCCTTCAAAGCCCAGTTAAGATATCTCCCCCCCCAAACTCCCTCCCCTCGGTGCTCATCAAGCTGGCGTCTCTCCCTCCTCTGTGGGCACCCAGCCTCCACGCCCGGGACCTGGAAAGTCGCAGCCACACAGGACAGCCCGGCTCACGCCCTCGCGCAGCCTTGGGAAGGCTGGACTCATCCCTGGCCCCTCACAGCACCCGGCACGTAGCAGGCGTCTCCCAGCCGCTTACTGAAAGGAGCGTTTGGTGTGAACCTGGGCCTCATGGGCCTTGACCAAAACTGAAAACCTTTGACCCCGGAGCCCTGATCACCCTTGACGACATCTGCGTCCCTCTCCTGAGGGACAAGGGCGGCGAGACGTGGATGCAGTAGGGCTGAGCTGGTCAGGCTGGCTTTGAGGACAGGGCTGGCCTGACCTGAGGTCTCTGGGGACTGGGCCACAGAAGCTGGGGCCCCGGGAGGGGAGGCCTGGCGATTCTGGTGGCTTCTGTCTGCACCAGCCGCTGAAGGTCACCCAGGCCAGCCCCCTGCGTTCGCAGGTGCGGAAACAGGCCGGGAAGTGGGGAGGCGCCCCAGCTGTCTGACGGGCCGGGTGGGCTCGATCTCTGGCACCGCAGTAAGGTCGCTGTCCCACACGTGCAGCGGGTGACTCTGGGCTGCAGACCTCACACCCCCTCCAGGCTGCATACAGCCTGCCCCTGCACCACCCCCCTGCTGTCCAAGGTTCTCGGAGGGGGGGCACAGTGCGGGGCAACATGACCAGGGAGCAGCAGGAAAGAAAGGTGAAGTTTGGGGTACAGGGCACCCCCCCAAAGGTCCCTACAAAGTCCAGAAAGTCAGAAAGGGGGTGGACCATCCGGTGCAGGCTGGTGGGAAGCACTTTCTGGAGCCCAGGTAGCAGGAACAGGGGTCCGATGGTGGTCCCCTCCCCGTGCCCGGTCCTGTCCTAATGCAGCAGCTTGGGTGTGTCCCCCGAGGGCGCAGGCCCAGTGCATCAGTCAGGCAGTGGGTACCTGCCTTCACGCTTGCTAGGCACTGTGCAGCATGCAAGATCCAGTGTCACAGGTCACCCGTGCATGGACTTATGTATGCCCTAGAATGAACTTGGAACCAGCTTCATTTTAGAAGAAAAAAACCCTAATGCTCAGAGGTGCAAAGGCCTTGTCCAGGGTCCCAGAGCTAGTAAGTGGCAGAGCTGGGATTTGAACCCCGGTCTTTTTTCCACCCTGAGGGCCTGGACCCTTAAACTCCCCAGGTGCTGGCGGTAAGGAAGGTCTTGGCAGATGATGTCACAGGCAGCGAAGCCAGAGAAACAGGCAGAGGCCAGCTCGCATAAGAGATGAAGACAGCACCCCACGCCGAAAGGTTTTCAGTTTCGGTTTGGGGATGGATGAGGAGTCCATGAAGGGGCCATTGTAGAGATGGCGAGTTTGAAAGGTGACGCCCTCTCTCTTGACACCCCTGTCCATGTCTCCGGCCCGCAGAGCCCCAGACAGCAGCCACAGGATGCCAGACAGGCAGTCGGACATCTCTGCCATCTCGTATGACTACTCGGAGGAGCAGCTGATGGCCAGCATCGAGCGGGAATACTGTCGCTGAGGCCACCACAGCAGCCTTGCAGGCGGCCTGGCCCCAGCCCGTCCACACCGCTCCTCGGCCACTGGCCCCATCTGACTGGACCCGGGTCACACATCACCTCCCGCCGCCCAGGCTCTGGCTGCAGCTGAGCCCCCTCTACCACGAAGTTACTCCCGTCTCTTTCAAAACACCCGGCTTCCAGCAAGCTGGCTCCAGGGCTCAGCTGGACGGACCCAAGCCTGGAGGAAGGCGCAGGGGCTGGCCCACAGGTGCGGGGCCGGGGGTCTCCCTGAGGCTCCTCTCGGTCCCTGGGGAGGGCTTGTCTACAAGGTCCTGGCCTTCTCCGATGGCCCTCTCTGCCTGGGCTGGGGACAGCTGATCGGCTCACCACGGCTCCTCCGACGCTGCCTTCTATGGGCCAGGGTGGGGTCTAGAGTCTGCATTTCTAACCAGCTCCGGGTGAGACCCTGGCTCCTGGCCCTCCCCCCCTCCCCCCCCCCCTCGGGGGAGGAGGGATTGAGCCGAAGCGTTAGAACCCTGAGACACTGGGCCGGCTCAGAGCCACAGCCCACAGCCATCCCTGAAGACATGCCCTGCTCCCCTGGAGGGTGCGGGGGGGGGAGGGGTGGGGGGGAGCGGGGGGGGGAGGGAGCGCAGGGCTGGGTGCTGTAGCCCCCAGTTCTGACCCTCCCTGTTGCACTCACTTGCAGCCACTTTCACCCTGTGAGCCTCAGTTTCCCCCTCCAGAAAGTGAGTCTTGGAGGCTCTTCCAGGCATTCTGGCCCTGACAGCCTGGAGTTAGATGATGCCGGGCTTCCGTGATCCCTGCTGTCCCGCCGCGCGCCGGGGCCCAGAACTGCCCCCTGCTGCTGACGGTGAGCCCCCCGCCCCCGAAGCACCTGCAGGGCTTGAGGGCCGCCCGCTCTCAGCAGACCAGGGCCTGACGGGACTGTTCTACTCCCTTCCCACCGCCTGGGAGGCCAGAGAGCCTGTGAGTGCTCCCATCTGACCAGCGAGCAAGCTGATTGGCCAAGGATGCCTGTGAACCGCGGCAGGGCCAGGGCACCCCGGACTGACCTTCTGGAAGGGGGCCCAGGCGTGGGTGGTCGTGGAAGGCTCTGGGTGGCATGCGTCGGAGGCCAGGTGGCAGGTCCCTCCAGAGCAGCTGGGAAGGCGTCGGAACAAAGGGGCGTGTGGGGGCGGCGCCAGCTTTTGCCGAAGCCAGAATAGGTCTCAGCCGGTTGCATTTTACCAGCCACACAGCAGCCTCCCTGGCAAGATGCAAGAGCATCTCGGGAGCTGACGAAGGGCCCCCTGGCACTGTCCCCAGACCCACAGGCCTGCTGCCGTCATTGGCTGCCGGGTGTTGGCATGAACTTTTATTACTTGACAAGAGAGACTTTGATGGGGTGTTCCGTGGCTGGGAGCCAGAGGCCAGCCGACGGAACCTTCCAGCAGCTGCCCTCACACATCGACTCCGAACCTTGCCCGAGTGGCAGTGGCGCCCCATCCAAGCCCAAATCATTTCTTTGGATCAAAGATGAGAGCCATTACGATTCGAATCATACAAAATACTTCTTCTAAAAGAAGTTAGGATGTTATTTCTCACCCCCAGACAGACTAGGCCTTGAATTTAACGACGTAAAGTGTTTACAATTTTACATTGTTATTTTGTTAAAATGGAAAAGATTCAGGCCGTTTCCGAGAGAAGGACGCTACACCCCTGCCTTGTCTGGTGGAAACCTCCCACAACCCTTAAGAAGATGAAAGTGTGAAGAAAATAAAATTCCTTACATGGTTACTGCAGTCTGTGTGGAAGTCAAGGTGAATGCATGTAATCAAAGCAAAGCAGTCATTCTTAGGTCTTTTTTTTTTTTTAATATCCCGAATGCAGAAAAGTGTCTTTTTTTTTAATTTTTAAATATCTATTTATTTATTTTTTATTTTTTTACAAATAGTTTATTGTCAAATTAGTTTCCACATAACACTCAGTGCTCATCCCCACAAAAATATCTATTTATTTTTGAGACAGAGAGAGACAGAGCACAGTGGCGGAGGGTCAGAGAGAGAGCGAGACACAGAATCCGCAGCAGCTCCAGGCTCTGAGCTGTCAGCACAGAGCCCGACACAGGGCTCGAACCCACGAACCGTGAGATCATGACCTGAGCCGAAGTCTGATGCTTACCTGACTGAGCCCCCCAGGAGCCCCCGATGGTCCAGAGTCTTAGAGCCACTTCACCCTGGGCTGCCTTTCGTGGGCTGTGGCCCGCTGGAGGTCCTGCTCAATGCTGCCCGGGGCCACGTCTCCTGAGCCCCCTGCCACTGTGGGCCTGGCCCCTCCGCTCGGTGGCGGGTCCGTGCGTGAGCTGGGTCTGGTCTCTGTCCGGGAGGACGTGCTGTGTGTGGGGCCGGGACACCCATAAACACACATTCACTCTGGAGAAGGTAAAGTCGACGCCCCACCGAAGGGCTAGTCCGTGTGGGTGGACGTTCTGTTCTGGCGATAATTAGGCAGAAGAAAGGCCTTCTCGGGTGTCAGGAGGCTAAACCACCTCTGAGGCTCTGAAGGTCGGTGCCCTCCTCCAGGAAGGAGACAGCACGGAATCAGAGCTTTGGTGTGGGGACATCTGGACCCCCTGGGGAGAGATCCGACCATGACAAGTGGGCAGGACTCTTGTTTTCTGACGTGCTGAGATCTTCAGTTTCCAGGGCCGGAGAGGAGAAGCTGCTTTCTCTGTGGGGTGTGGACGCCGGGAAGGAAAGGTGACACTTAGTGTAAGGCCCACTGGACACCCCGTGGAGCGGGTGCCTGGGGGTGCGGGTACCCAGGGGGCTGAAGGAGCGCGTGGTTTCGTGTGGCGCCAAGCAGGGGCACGGGGCTGCCCTTCCCAGTGTCGGGGGCCTGTGGCCTGCTGGCAACAGCGACACCGCTTGGCAACAAGAACCGCTGCGGCAGTGTCGCTCCTGACGTGGGCTGGCTAAGCCCCAAGAGGGCCACGGTGTAGGCGAAGCGGAGAAAGTGCAGAGGGCAGGGCTGTTTCCTACCACTCTGGCAGGAGAGAATCTGAGTGGCAAATAAAAATAATACAACCTTAGAAGTAGCACCTTACGTGAGCGAAGCACAGGCCACAGAAGCAGTGTGTGAGTGTGTGCGTGTGAGTGTGAGTGTGCAATTTGTACAAGTACTTGAAGAGGGCGCGCTCCCCACCAGGGTCTGTGCGAGGCGGGCCCAGGAGCACAAGACACAGATGTGACAGGAGAGGGCGAGCAGGCTCAGGGGCCGCTGTGGTCTGCACCCTGCCGGCCACACGGCTCATGCGACCTTGGAAAACGTGGGGTTGGAAGTAGCCAGGCTCCCTGGGGAGGCCCGGGCTCTGGTCTTGGCCTCACTTTCCAGTGATCTAGGGATCGCAGCTTCCTCACTTTTGCAGCGGGCAGAGGCCGTCTGTCCATCCTGCCGCCCACGGTTACCGGGAAGCCTGAATGACAAACGGCTGGCTGGGAGCCCTGTCACTGTAAAGCCCATTTAGGTAAGAAGTGGGGGCCTGGTTGTGAGGAGGGGGACCCTCGGCGTAGGTGGAGGAGCTGGTCTGTGCTCCGCAGGAGGCCAGCTGGGGTCTGGTCTACCAAGAGGGCACAGCTTTCTCGGGGATGCTCCGGCGGCTACACGAGGCCCCGTGACCTCGAGCCCCCCTCCATTTAGCAGAAGAATTCTGCATTTTCTGGCATCCCCGTATTATGTTTGAGAGGTGCCCCCAGCCTCGTGCTCACTGGCCTGGGGAGCCCGTGCTCAGTGGTGCCCCCCGGCGCCCAACCACAGGCTCTGGGTCTGTGAATAAACACAGCTGCTTCAGGGTCCCGGCCATTGCCAAAGCCAACATCTCAGAGTCTTTTTGGGGAGGGCAAGGGCACGCCACCCCCTCTGTGATACTTTGGTAGTGGCATCCCACAGCGACACGGCCTGGGCACCTTGTGTCACGGCTCCCTGGATTTACACGCACAGCCATCTCCCTGGGTTTGAACATGGAGCCCGGTGGGCATGGGGCTGGCCCGGCCAATGTCCTGTCCCCTCATGAGTCCCCTTTGTGGCTCCTCTGAGGAGCCTTAGCCTCAAGAGCACATCTCTATGTCGAGTCGCCCTTTGAGAAGCTGATAAAAGTGATGGTCCCCCTAGGGGCGCCTGGGGGGCTCAGTCGGTTAAGTGTCCGACTTTGGCTCAGGTCATGATCTCTCAGTCCGTGAGTTCAAGCCCTGCATCGGGCTCTGTGCTGACAGCTCAGAGCCTGGAGCCTGCTTCGGATCCTGTGCCTCCCTCTCTCTGCCCCCTACCCACTCACACACACACATACTCTCTCTCTCTCTCAAAAATAAATAGACATAAGATGGACCCATGCCCGTGTGTACACCGTTGTCTCTGGTTTCAGGGCATTGACGCCCCGAGGTCTGTGCACGCGAGGTCTGCTCAGGGATACCTTGGTGGGTCTCCAGGATTGTCTGTCCTGTCTTCTTCGGCGCTCTGTCCTTTGATGCCTCACCACCTTCGTGTCCCTGGACCGTCAGTGCCGTCTCAACCCAGGGACCCCTCTGGGTCCCGCCTGGTTTCCCCTCCCTCCACCGCAGCCTGGAAATTTCCTCAAGGCAGCAAACTGGGGGCAGCTGTAGTGTTCAGCCCACTGATCTCCTGTCTCTCAGGGGTGACTGTCTCTCATGGCCCAGAGGTCCAGTTCCGTGGAAACACTATCGTGCCCTCGCTCTTTCAGATGTGAGGGGGGTGTTCGGTTCTTACTATTCCTTCTTGGGCAGGAATGGGATCCATATTTCTATTACTTTAATGTTCACGCTGCCACAACTTGGCCCGTGGCCGTCCCTCTGAGTGGCTTCTTTGCTCTTTAGCACAGTCCCTGCCACTCTCGAAGGCAGCTGGCGATGCAAGAATACGACGTAAGCCCGTTCTGGATCTGTGGGCCCCAAACAGCTACCCTTCAAGGGGCCCTGGCTCCCCGGGGTAGGAAACAACTCAGGTTTTCTTCCACACGGGAAATGAAAATGCCAGACACGGAGACAGGCGTGTGGTCTCTGGTCTTTACTTGGCCCTCATTTCATACATGAGGAAATTAAAGTTCAGAAAGGTAGGGTGTCTTCCGGCAACACGTGGCTGCATGGTTGGCCTGCCTCGGGCCACGTCAGTGCCGCCCACCAAATCCCTGCCGGCCAGGAGGCCAGGGCCTGGTGGACGTCGCAGTGGGATGGAAGGCCGCCCTCTTCCCCGCCGCCTCTGCGCCGGGCCATCCGTCCCTCCGCACGCGCCCTTGGACGGGACCGCTGGGGGAGACAGGACTGCCCACCTCCCCGCTTTTCCTATCAAGACCTCACAGCCTTTGCCTCTCAGACACCATCTATTTCTTAAAAATAATTTTTTTTAAATGTTTATTTTTGAGAGGGAGGGAGAGTACAAGTGGGAGGGGCAGAGAGAGAGGGAGGGAGATACAGAATCTGAAGCAGGCTCCAGGCTCTGAGCTGTCAGCACAGAGCCCAATGTGGGGCTCGAACCCACGAACTGTCAGTTCATGATCTGAGCCAGAGTCAGACGCTCAACTGACAGAGCCACCCAGGCGCCCCAGAGCCCATTATTTCTTAGCACGCTCCCTTCTCTCTGCTGGCCAGCATCTCCTAACAACTCCTGGCCCAGCCTCACCCCTCCAGTCCCTGCAGCCAGAGCGATCCGACCTGAGCAAGAATCTCCCTCCCCCAACACTTAACAAACACTGAGGGAGTTCCGGAGCCTTGTAAGATGCTAGGGTTTAGGGACACAGACAAGCCACAAGGAGGGGCTGTCACCCCTGTCCTCAGGGGACGCACAGTCTATGGAAGGGGACAAACAGGTGAACGCAGGGGTGTGATTACAAGGACAGGTCCCTGAAAGAAGGCTGGGCAGTTAATTTGGCCAGGAGAGGCGGTGAGGTGTGGGCATGAAAGGGAAGTTGAGGAAAGGGGGAGAAGGGGCAAAGACCGCAGCCTCCCCAAATCCCTCACCAGGATCCTGGGGAGTCTGGAGCAAGTGTGGCTGCTTCCCTATTTCCGCCCCAGGGGAACCCCCACGGAACCCTCAGCGATGCTTGCCTGGCCCTCAGGGAAGACACCAGGCCACCTCCCCACCAACCCCCGCCCACCCTGCCACTGGGGCCCTCACACCGCACCCCTGGCACCTGCAGCCTGGGGTGTATGTCGGCATCTTTGTTCTGCTGTCCTGTCCGGGGCCTGGAAAACCTTCCCCTCACCTTTAGTTCAGATGTCCCCCCCAGGAGATTTCTCCAGAAGCACATCAGCCCCTCACTGCACAGCGCTCCCTGACCCTCTATGCTTGTACCCTGTTTGCTGCTCAAAACGTTCCTCACGTGCTTTCACGTCTTACCTACGGGACTATGAGCTCTTCAGGGGCAGAAACTACAATGGGTCATCTCTGGGTTTCTGCCCCCAACACAGAGTTCATTAAATGCTGCTGGATGGTGGATAATGGATGGATGGGGAGTAGATGGATGGGTGAGGGGTGAGTGGATGGGAGGGTGGGTGGGTGGATGGATGGAGGGGGGTAGGCGGATGTGATATGATCCCTGTCAAGGAGGAGCTTACATTTCAGCAGGCAGATTAGACTTGCAGTAAAATTCAACATGACAGATTTTAGTCTTAAAGACAGAATCTCTAGCCTTTCTTAAAAAATGCTTATTTTTGAGAGACAGAGCACAAGTAGGGGAGGGGCAGAGAGAGAGGGAGACACAGAACCCGAAGCAGGCTCCAGGCTCTGAGCTGTCAGCATAGAGCCCGATGCAGGGCTCGAACTCATGGACCATGAGATCATGGCCTGAGCCAAAGTTGGACACTTAACTGACTGAGCCACCCAGGGGCCCCTGGCAGAAACTCTAGTCCTAAGTCCAGAAAAGAGGGGCCCTGGGAAGGCTCCCCAGAGGTCGCCATCAGAACTGGGTGCCGAGAGCTGAGGAAGCATGAACACTCAGGGCTCCTGCTCTGGAGGACTGTCGTCTCCACTGCACACGTGCACCCCTGCCCAGCACTGGGCCTGCGGCATCTTACCGCTATGCTTGTTGGCCAGGGTGTCCCCTGAGCTCAGCCCGACGTGCTGGGGAGCAGCAGCTGTTGGCAGGGCCAGCTCAGGACAGCCCGGGGACCCACGGACTCCTGAGTGAGTGGCTGAGGCCTTAGGGAACAAACCTCCCTCCCTCAGAGGGGGCTGTGTCTCACCCGAGTGGGGGGGTCCTGGTGCCTGGGCTTTCTCCCAAGAGGGGGCCCAGCTATTAGGAACATTCTCAAGTTCCTCATGTAAAAGTCCCTGAACAAAGGCAGGTTGGAACATGAGGCACGGTGGATGTGAGAGCCCGAAAGCAGAACCCTGGTGACCACAGAGGACAGCAGGTACAAAGCCACAGACTGTCCCCTGGAAACAAAGGCGTTCAGAGTCGGAGAGACTTTCCTAGGCGGACTGCGGAATTGCTAGGTACAAGGCCCATTATCATCTTTGATCCCCCGCTGCCAACCCCTCACCTGCACGTGCACACACGCGCACACAAGCGCACACACGCACAGGAGCAGTGTGGCCCACTGAATCGCATGCCAGGGTGGCCGGCTTTGGAAGGCAGTGAGTCCACAGGCCTGTGAAGACGGCGTGTGCAGTGAGAAAGGAGGCCAGGCGACGCCAAGGGTTTGCACCGGGACGCCCGAAGGACGGACTCGCTCTCTGTAAAGACCGTGGGGTCGGCGGGGAGTAAGGCGGGTGTGGAGACGTTGCTCGAACGCACATCGTGTAGACAGCGGGAGAGGGGGTCCTGATGCTCAGGCGAGAGGTGCGGGGGGCAGAGACACACACGGGTGTCTCTACGGTGGAGACGTTATTTCCGAGTCATGAGACTGGAAGAGATCACATGGTTTTGGGAGGGAGGTGGAGAGGGGGTCAGGGAGAGGGGGCTGCGGGCGGAGGAGCAGACAGTGCAGCACGAGGGAAACAGGGGTGCGGCCTTGGGGGGCAGGGACCATGGGGCTGACCAGCATGAAGACTGAGGCCCGAGCTCGGGGAGGTCTCTGCTCCTCTAGTGAGGTGTGGACGCGAGCCCGGCTGGAGTGGGTTTAAGACACAACACACCGCGAGAGCAGGAGCGAAGACCGTGGCTCTGCGATACACTCATAGATCTGGGCTGGAGGAGGGGAGGGGGAGGAGGGAGGCGCGCCCTCTCGTCCCACCTTGTCACGGGCTCCGTGGCTCTCACAGGCTCACCTGCCAGAACAAGAGCAGCATGACCGGGGGCGCGCAGACGCAGCCTCTTTGCTCATGTCCTTTGTAAAGAAGCCTCCAAGGAATCCGCAGGGTGCCCTGGGTGCAGAGCAGAACCCGAGCCAACAGCAGCTTAGGCGGGGCCGACACACTGTGAATTCTGTAGGTTCTTTCCCGAGAAGATCCTGGGTATCTCCTGGTGCAGCTAAATGACACAGGACACAAGTCCAGTTTTGCAAATCAAAAACGTTTTATACGATTCAAAGAAAAAAGCTACATCACACATGTTCATTTAAATAAGTCAAAGTCTGTTACATAAAGCATAATTCTGAAACATTTAAAATTTTATTATTGAAACTACAAAAGGCTCAAAGTCAAAAAAGATCAAGCAAAATTGCTCAGGCAATAAAGTGCATGGGGCGGGGGGGGAGGGGGGGCCGCCACACAAGCTCCACTTCCGGCAGAGGTAACACAAGGCTCTGGTTCTCAGGACAGGATTTTCCAACTGGAAACTCTCCTAATTTATAGTCTTTCAGTCAACAAACAGAGAGAGGAAAGTTTATAGAAGGTATTTCTAAATCTAATCAGGAAATGGAAGTAGAAATCAAATTTTAACATCTCTATTCTTTAGAAACCGCGCTGCCTAGAGAATGAAGTTTAATGCGACGAGCGACCCAATTCTCAATGACCTCGTATTCTCAGCACTAGGACTTCCGTTACTTTGCATAATTAAGAAGAATATACAAATTTAATGCCATTTACGACATACAGTCAGAAACGTTTATGCTGATTTAAGATGTAGGCGGAAGAGAGAAAAGGCTCAGGGTGGGGAAACACGAGCTACAATACATTTAATTATGGTTCTCTTGCAACCGGTAGGAATACTCAGCACGGAGGTGAACAAAAACGGGAAAGCCGTCTGAATGGAACAGCCAGGGCTCAGACTCGTATGCCAGTTAGCAGCTGACGCTAAAGGGCGATTTACGGGCTATCAAGTAAACATACAGTGAATGACCAGGTGATGGTTACCATATTAAAGGGACCTGAACAGAAAACCTAATTATATTTATTTCATATTTCACCTTACCATCATTTTGATGAAAGTAAATGCCAATATAAGACGCAAAGGCAAGATCTAAGCACGCGCAGCACAATAAAGCCCACTCCAGGCTCATGACGCGGGGCCGCATTCGTCCGTCCCTTGCGCGCCCCATGTTGCCTGGATTCCCAACGCCGTCCAACAAAAGCAGTACCCGTGGCTTCCCGAACACCCGGGTCGTGGTGTCCGTATAATTAGGACTTGTGATCACACGGATTCCGGGTGCTGCCAGGGGTCTCATTCTCTAGGTGGACTGCACAACACCCCATCCGAGTAATTCCGTTTGATCAATTTCCTTCAAATGAAATGAACGAAAGAGAAGCCGGTAGTAGTACTGCTGTTTGGTGTAACTTGCGTTTCCTATAGTTCTTAAGAATTAAAGGAATTGGAATATTGGAGCTGGGCTGTTTGCGTGTACACTTTACCTCAGATAAACTGTACTTTGGTGGAAAGTTCCTCCAGCCAATAAGGACGTTTTCTTCTTCTCTAAGAAGTTACTTCTACTCTACCTACTCTAGAGTAGAAGTTACTCTAACACTATGAATAAGGCCACAGCAAAAGAAGTCAACTGACCATTAATGAAGGGGCTGGGTGTGAGTGCTTATAACATTACCTTTTTTTGGTGTTTGAGGTACAAACAGGCAACTAAGTAGTTTGCTCTCGGCAGAGCAATGGCCCCCAAAACCACAGGCACTCAGATCCAACAGCAGCTCCCTGGTCACCGTGTAGCTATCAGGAATTTTAAATTATTCTCTGGGATACAGCCTTCACAAGTCACACCATGGACATAGATAAATGACTCGTTCTACTTAACCAAAATTTTAATTCCTTGGGCTACAGCCTTAAAGGAATGGTTGCCTGGAATTCCCCTTGAAAATGCTACGAAAAGCTGAATGCAAGTCCCCCCCCCCCCCCATTTAAGAAGCCCCCATTCAACTAGTTCTGATTCGTAACAATTCTTAGATCTGAAGGGCCTGTTGTAGACTGGCAATTTCTTTCTTTTTGTCGCTGAATAATATGCCAAATTTACTAAAAGAGTTATTACGAAAAACACTGTGGAACACCGAAAAGAAGACCGAAAATCACCTATCTAGAAAGTGGTGATTTGAACACCAACAATATAAATATTTTAATAAAAAACAGTATAAAAGTCAGTACCCTGTCTCATTTCTACAAAACGTGAATAGAAAGGCTGTAAAACCCCAGATTGTGTAAACTTTATTGCCAAAATGTCTATTTGAATGCTGGTGATTCAGATGCTCAAATTTTCTTCCATTTCCTCAAAAAAAAAAGAAAGAAAGAAAAAAAAACAACAACTTCTGAAACTACAAAAGATATTGAACAGGGTCCCAAACAAAAAAAGTAAAGTTAATATACTTTCATCAGAACCAACTCCCCACTTTCTCCGAGCCCCCCAAGACCTTTTTTTTTTTTTTTTGGAAGAGAAAGTCATCAGTTCCATTCCTGAAAGCTGCTTCGGAAGGTTCCTGCGGGCGGATGCTCGGCTGACCTTTCAGGCGGAGGCCGGCGGGGTCGCCAGGGGGCCCCCACATTTCTCTGCGGAGGCGATTCTGTTCAGTTTGCCAACCTCTGCCTGCCAGCCGGGCGCCTTCCTGGCCGTCATGTGGCGCCGCGCATGCTTCGTCAGGTGGTCGCTGCGCATGAAACGCCGCTCACACGCGGGGCACACAAACTTCTTCTCCCCGGTGTGAGTTCTGCGGTGGCGAGAAAGTTCATCGGAACGAGCAAACTTTTTATCACAGCCATCCCAGTTGCAGCTGAAAGGCTTCTCGCCTAAGAGGCAGGAAGATGCGCATGAAAGAAAATGTAAGTGCTCAGCACCTTATTGGACAGGTCAACACATGTCATTTTTAAATTCTATTCATCGAAATTTAAGAAAGTAGTATCTGATTATTCTGGTATTGAGTTATTCTTTTTTTTTTAAATCTTTTGTAACTTTATTTTTGAGACAGAAAGAGACAGAGCACGAGCAGGGGAGGGACAGAGGGAGAGGGAGACAGAATGGGAAGCAGGCTCCAGGCTCTGAGCCGTCAGCGCAGAGCCCAACGCGGGGCTTGAACCAGAACTGTGAGATCGTGACCTGAGCTGAAGTCGGAAGCTTGACCAGCTGAGCTGCCCTGGCACTGAGCTACTCAAATGACAAGAAATCCTCCAAGATGCATTTCTTTCTGCCACACCCCAAAAACATAACACGTATGCCAGGGCCCAAAGATGTCAAACTAATCTCACAGTTCTAAAGATATATTTTTTTTAAAGCTTATTTATTTTGAGAGAGAGAGAGAGGGAGGGAGAAGGGCGGGAGAGGCAGAGAGAGAGGGAGAGAGAATCCCAAGCAGGCTCCGCACTGTCAGCAGCGTGAGTCTGCGGTGGGGCTTGAACCCATAAACCATGATCGCATAACCTGAGCTTGAAATGGAGAGTCAGAAGCTCAAGCAACTGAGCCACCCAGAAGCCCCCAAAGATTCTTTGAAATAAAAATAAATCTTTCATTGTTATAGCTTGGGGTAGGGGGAAATTCTTGAAAGAATTCCTTCCCTGAAAAGCAGAGCCCCTCAGAGGCATCCACTCCCTCCGATGCAGCCGTGACCGTCAGGCCTGAATCCTGGACTCTGCTTCGCTGTGCCAGTGCGAGCTGCCACATGCAAGCTCTGGTGTGCGAACTAGAAACCGCCCGCCCGAAGCGCACTGCGGCCCCGCCTGCGCTGCATCCCCCAACTCGTGCGGTCCCACAGGCCGTCAGCAGACGTTCCGGCGGAAGGGCGGTCCCTGATCTAGAGTATGTCCGTTGCGCTGCGGACCCTGCGTGACCGGTGACTGCGCTTACGGTTATGGAGAGTGTGACCGTCTGAAAGGGGAGTTTAACGAGCAGACTATTTAACCACAGCAGCCTTATAAACGCAACAGGAGAACAGTGACGCGAGGAACAAGAGCGCCACGGAACGACAGCGCCGCGCTAACGTAACCTGCTGAAGCAGCAGCTCTCCCAGCGGCTCCCCGACCCCAGCGAGCCGTGCGGCCACCAGCCCACACGGCTGTGTGAGTATAAACTTAAGGACAAATGTACTTCCTTGGTCACACTGTCCATATTTCAAGCGCATATGGCTAGTGGCTACCTTAATGGGACAAAGAACACTTCCCTCGTTGCCAAAAATTCTACGGGACCGAGCTGGCGCGATAATAAAGAGGTCACTAAATAATTACAGTCACTTTTCTGAATGAAAAACTATGTATTTCCTCAAATAAGAAAACTACACTCCCTTCAAATTCACAGATTTTTGAATTCAAGCTTTTCCATACTTTAGACAGACCTTTCCCCAGAGTGAACTAAAGTAGGTTACGCTGGTATTTACTGAATGTGAAATCCGCGTTTTCTAAAATGCTGCCAGACAGACTGAGGCGTCTCCTGTGATATGGAGATAGAGGAGCGGTACGAGCATCACCTTAAAAACCTATCAAAGAGCCGCGATCCCGGAACCATACATTCTACCTACGGGGATGAGCACATGGCATGTTCTAGAAAAACCAATGATGGTTATACTACCAGTAACCCCCAATCCCTACAAGACTGTGAGGGTTTTTCAGGACCGGAGGGAAGGAGGCCAGATTTCCCCCTTTCCCAGTGGTTTTCACGAGCCCCTCCCACTGGAGGAAGGCTCCGCGTCCCCCGAGCCCAGGACCCGGTGTTCTCGCACCTACCGCTCGGGACTCACCTGTGTGAGTGCGGAGATGGGCCTTGAGGTGGGAACTTTTGAAGTAGGTTTTGCGGCAGCCCGGGACGTTGCAAACATAGTTTCTCCTTCGGGAAAAGTCTACCTGAGGGGCACAGTTCTGGCCGGAGGTGATGAACACTGGAGCGGGGGCCAGGGGCAGGAGCCTGGTGCTGCCCCCAGCCACCCCGCCGGGTGACGAGGCCGCAGGCGGGGGCAGGGCCCCCTGCGGCAGGACCAGCATCACGGCCCCCTGAGGCACAGGCGGCCCCACGAACACAGGCCGGGCCACCGCAGCAGCGTGGGGGAGGATGGGCTTCGCCGTCCCCGCACACGCCTGGGGAGGGGGCTTCAAAACAGCTGAAAACGTGCCACTCTGTCCAGTCACAGGGATCATTTGGCAAAAGACAGGGGAACTGGGGACGGGGACAGAGATCACAGGGATGGCTTTCCTCGACAAGTCACTTTCATAATTCTTTGGTGAGCAGGTTTGAATCGCGACAGGCCACCCAGCCTGCTGGCCTTTGTCGGCGGGGACCAGGCCACCGGCCTTGTGCGAGCAAGGCTGGCCGGATGAGGAGTCCGCGGCCAGCGGGCGGTCTGTGAGCCGTGTGGCCAGCAAAGCTTCCAGCCGTCCCAGAGACGGTGCTTCTCCTCCGCTGACGGAAAGCTGGCGCTCTTGAATCTGGGCGGCAGGAACGTGGCCAGGAACTGGACTCCCCGCCGTGTGGCGGATGACACTTGTCACCACGGGCCTGCAGGAGGGGCTGCGGGCTGGCTCCGGGGACTCTGGCTGCGAAGCAGGAAGCGCCCTCTCCGCCTTCCCGCTCAGCACTTGGGCTGCGCCAGCAGAGGCTGGGGGCATGGCCGTGACCATGCATGCTTTGGAATCAGTTACTTGGGAAGGAACAAGTGTCCCTGTCGATGGCTCCACGAGGTCAGGGCTCTGAGGAGGAGTCATGCACTTAAAAAAAAAAGTACTGTGTGAAAAGGTGGTCTTGGTTACAGTTTCAAGGGGACTTAATTTGGGTCACGCTGCCCCCAGGGCCTTTAAAAAGTATCTACAAAAGCCTCACGGAAGCCTGCTCACCGGCATCACATCACGGCTTGCAAGGCTCGCTGAGCTAGGTCACTTTCCAGGCTCCTCCCCCTTTCCTGACCTCGCCCAAACCAGTCAATGTGCTTAGTTTTAATAACATCAGTGCCACTCCTGGCCTTGCATGGCAACTGCAACGAGCCATTAACTATTAGGCCCACAGATGAGAAAACAAATTTATATTCAAAATAAGAGCTTTTCACAATGATTTCTGATTCTCAATTAAAAACCACCACCCCAGCGTGAGCCATTGCACACACCCCAGCGTGAGCCATTGCACACACTATTAGACGCGAGGTAAAAGTCTGCTGGAACGGCCCCCCGAAGCCACGCTCTCACCAGTGGCCCTGCCTGAACGACGCCCCTCTCGCAGCGCCCGGCACTTCCCACTCCCGGTCGGCCTCCCGGCGGCAGGGCCCGGTGCCAGCGACTCCGCGAGGGGGCTCTGGCTCACTCTTTGGGGAATTCTCCCACTGCCCACGAGTCCCTTCCCCTCCCTCTCCCAGGTCTGCCTGCCACGCTCTCCTTCCAGCGAGCTTCCAGCGCAGCACCCCGAGATTCTGGTCCTTCACCTCTGTCAGCAACTGGCCGTTCTCAACTTTACAAGCCGAGAAGCAATCTCTCCCAGCAATTCCGTGGCTCCAGCAAGGTAAGGAAACACAAACCAAAACCTTGCCTGACCGCACCCAACCCCTACAGGTAAGAAATGGGTTGCTCTGGGGAGGCAGAGGCCAGAGTGGGAACCCAGCTAATGAAGGCTGGGGCCAAACACAGGCTGTCTCCACCCGTATTTCCTGATCCCAGACTGGGTCCCACCCTGGAAATCCCCAGGGAAGCGAGTACGTTTTACTTCCTCACATCCATCTGTAGGTTTCATCTTATGAATGTTGTAGCCCTGTGGCTGCAAGCTGGGATCTATTAATGGAAAGAGCGTATTTTCCAGGGATGAGAGCTTTCATCCTGAGGACCCAGAGGTCCTGCCCTTGACTACCAGCATCCCAATGAATCTCCCACTAGTTCTTCAACACATTTATTTAACATGGCCTAGTCACTACATAAGACGCTCTTCTCCCCACTTCTTACCAGAGTCGATAAAGAATCGAAGTCCTTTGGTAGCTCAGGTGCGGCTGTGTCAACATGCACCGTGGCAGTGACATCCCCAGAGTCAGAGACAGGTGTGAGGGGTCTTATCTTTAACAGTTCCCCTTTCTGGGATCTTTGACCCCAGGCGCTCATGCAAACAAGCGCCTCAACCGCTTCGATGTCATTCTGCTCCAAGACGCTGCACGTAGACCTTTCACTATCGTGCCGCTTCCTCTCCAGGATCGACTCACATATGTCCATGATGTCAACCTAAAGGCGACACAACACAGTGGTTTCTCAGTCTGGGGGAAACTGAGAGGGCAACCCTGATGGGTGCGAGGATACGCACACCAAGTGTGCGCACTATGCACGTAACACACACACGAGACTCCACACACAAACCCCGTTTCTGTACAAAATATGCCAACGGAACATTCATGCCAATTTCACTGAAGCCAGCGTTCTGACAAGTGAAGACGACTGGGCTTGGCTGGCAAGCATTTTCCACTGAAAACCCTGATTCTTAAAAAAAAAAAAAAAAAGTTACGTTCACGTTTTCCTGCAGGAAATGACCAGTAAGCCTTTAATTGCTCAGGTGTAAGCCCCGAGGGAGAAACTGGCACAGGCTCGGGTCTTCCGGGTTGTCAGAGCCACCCGAAGGGGGTCCCTGCAGGTGCGTTTCTGCAACTCTCTAAAGCCCTGAGCGCAGCCTTCTAAAGTCAGGGCATCACCACACACAGGACTTGCCGGGGGCTGAACGCCATGTGTGCCAGCAAGGTGGAGCCCATGCTGGGGGAGCCCTGTTCCCCAGACGCAGGAACACTCAGCCACTCCTTAACACCACAAGGCTAGGCAGGAGATAGGAAGAATTTTAAAAATCTACTGCAACCCAGGCGATGGACATCTTTCCTGCAGGTCACACTGGTCTTTCAAAGCAGGAAGGGGGGACAGAAGCAACTGGAATCAACTAATCCCTTCCCAAAGACCCTTTAAATCTACAATGACACACGTCTGCACTCAGCTCGCCTAAGCATCAAATCCTTTTGTCCAGCCAGGTCCCCCCAGAGCACGCCAGGGGCGCGACCGCCTCTGGCCCAGCTTCTGACCGCTGGGTCCCCAGAACCGTGAGATCACAGACATGGGGCTGAGGGCGGCAGGAACGGAGGGGCACAGCACACCCTGACCTCTCTCGGGCCCCCAGGGTCCTCGAGTCTCGACGACCAAGGTTCTAGCCGCCTTCAAGCCCGAACACGAGGCGGCCAAGGCTCAGGAAGGAAGCAACCCACTTCCCCTCCCCCACCCCGCCTTCTTCCGCCCTCTGTCTCCCACCCACCGTATGTGGTCATCGTGCCAGCTTTGCCCCGCCCACCGCATGTGGTCTTCGGGCCAGCTTTGCCCCACCCCCGCCCCACCTTTCATCAGCTTTGCCCCGCCCTCTACCCAACCCACCCCGGGTAGTCTTCAGACCAGTTTTGCCCCGCCCCCTACGTCCCGCCTTCCGTCCAGCTCTGCCCCGCCCACCGCATGTGGTCTTCAGGCCAGCTTTGCCCCGCCCCCGTCCCGCCTTCCCGTCAGCTCTGCCCCGCCCCCTACCCCCAACCACTGCATGGGGTCCTCATGCGAATTTGCCCCGCCCCCTACGTACCGCCCTCCCATCAGCTTTGCCCCTCCCCGTGCCTCCACCCAACACCAGTGGTCTTCAGGCCAGCTTTGCCCCGCCCCCTACGTACCGCCTTCCTCGCAGTCTTGCCCCGCCCCCCACGTACCACCTTCCTTCCAGCTTTGCCCCTCCCCGGCCCCACCTTCCCGCCAGCTTTACCCCGCCCCCCGCGTCGCCCACCGCCTGCCGGCTTCCCGCCAACCTTTGTCCCACCCCCCCAACCCCGCCCGCCCCACCCGCCGCGTGCCACCTTCCCGCCGGCTTTTGCCCGCCCCCCTCTCCCTTTCCACCATCCGCCTGCCGGACCCCGCCGCCCGCCTGTCGCGTTCCCGCCAGCCGCGCCCCGCCCAACGGCCGCCTCCTCATACGGCCTGGTGACGTCATGGCTGGAAATAGCCCCGCGCTGGGACCCGGCAAAGCGGGGTTCGCTGCGGGTACTCCAGACAAAGCTACGCGTAGGGCGGCGCGGGGCACACGCCCCCGTGCCACCCAGCGCGTCCCTGCACCGCTGCCGCCCCTCCCAGCGCCTGAGCCCGCGCTGGCCCCTAACCGTGGGGCCGCGGCTAGGCCCCATGCGTCCCCGCCCTCCTCCACGCCCCGGCCCCGCACAGGCGGCACGTCCCCGCCTCGCCGCTCGCCCGGATGGGCGCTCACTCACCGCCTGCGCGTCGCCCGATCCCACAGAGCCCGGCGTCTGCATGGTGCCGGCGGCCCGCAGGCAACAAAGCAGCCGCGGGGCGGGAGCTCAGCGCACGGCAGCGGCCGCACGTGCGCCGCGGGTGGCGGCGACCCGGAGCTCCTGCGGCCGGCGCGAGCCTCCGCCCGCCCGCGCCGCTCTGCCCCGGCGCGGCCCTCGCCGTGCGGGAGGGGCGGGGCGGCCGCGGAGGGAGCGGCCGTGGGGGCGTGGCGCGAAGGCAAACCAAAATACACCGCGCCCCCATCGGGGCGGGGCCGGGCGCCCGGCAGCCAATCCGCGCCGGGCGCTTGCGCCGCCGGCCAATGGGCGCCGCGGGGAGCCGCGTGATCGGAGCCTGGCCGAGGCGTGATCTGGCAGGGCGGGCAGCGGCACGTGTTTTGGTCCGAGTGAGGGGCGGGGCCTGAGGACCCGGAAAGTAGGGGAAAGGTCCCGGCGGCCGCGGCGGCTGCGGCGGGTCTGAGGGGCGGTGCAGCTGGTGCCGGGGAAGTCCCCTGGCAGAGGGCTGGCTGGGCAGTGCCACGGCGCTTAAAGGGGTACCGCCCGCAGCCTGCCCAAGCGCAGGACCCGTGGAGCGAATTGGACCCGCAGGAGGAACCCCCGCGTTTTGCTTGCTCGTTTGTAATTTTTCTTAATCTGTCGTCGGCTCCTCGGCGTGCCTCCCTGCCCGGGAAGGGATCTGAAAGCAGGCTGGCTCCAGGTGAGAGTCCTGCATCCGAGGCTCCTTTCAGCAGCGCCCCAGAGCCCGAGCTTCTAGGCCTGAGTCTGCCTTTGCCGTCCCTTCCCCAGGCAGCTTTGGGCCGCAGTTTCCACTCTTAAGTGGGGGCCGGAGAAACCCACCCGTTCTTCCCAGACCCGGTGTGAGCATCACCTCCTCTAGGAAGTCCTCAGGCCTGAATGAGAGAGATGTCCATTGACATCTTTCTTTTTCCCTGGACTTGGGTTGACCATGCTCTGGGTGTGGCTTAGCCACTTCTGCAGCTCTACGTTCTTGAAGGTCTTGAAGATCGGGGACCAGTCTGTGTGCCTTTGAACCCCTACCGCGCGCAGCTCAGCGTGGGACAGCCTTTCACCCCCTTGCGCTGCCACCTTTGCTGGGCTCGGAGGTGGGTGGGCACCGCTAAGAGGCAGAGGCCACAGTGAAGAGTCCTCGGCCCTGAAAGCCAAGGGCAGGGCAGGGTAGAGGGTCCCTGTGCTCTGAGCGAGAGAAGCCCTGGGCCCAAGGGACAGGCCACAGGGGCGGGCAGGACCTCCCCCTTATACTGGGGAGGCCCGGGGATCTGACCACTGCTTCTGCCTCACAGACCTGTTTGGGTAGGAGCGGGATAAGCTGGCCGCCTTCTCTCCATTTCTTCCTGTTATTTACTTGTCTCCCCACCAGAAGGAAGCCTCCCTGGGTTGGGGAGCTTGTCTGATGGGGTGCGGCCTCCCAGTGCCTGGCTCCCTGCAGACACACAGACTCCCGTTGGTTGAATGAGCCAATAAAGATGATCACCTGCTGCCCCACCCCCGCACCTCCCCGGGGAGGCAGACACCTCTAATTCGAGTCCTTGATGTTGAACTCACATTCTGCCCAAGTCTGGATTGCGCACCCCTGGGAAGCGCATCACCCATCACCCCGATACTTCCACCCAGAAACCAGAGCCACTTTGGCCCCTTCCCTTCCCTGCACTTGCCTCCTTTCGCCAATTACCTCCTGCCTGCCCTTCTCCCGCCAAGTATCTCTCAAATTACTGGCTTCTCTTCATCCCCCACTCGCGCCCCAGCCCGGCCACCGCCCTGCCTCTCCTGAATTCTGGCCACTGCCTCCCAGCATGTCTCGCTGCCTCCCGCCCGTCGCGTACGGTCTGCTCTTCAGCTCACTGCTGGGATGATCTGGAAGGAGCGTTGGTACCTAAGTAGCGTGCACACTCTCAGCAGGCGTCCACGTGGCTACTGGACTGAACCTGGCTCGTCAGGCCAGAGTCTGTGACTGTATAACGGGACCAGGCCAGCGGTTCCTGCGCCCCGCTGACCAGTTCCCCCCACCCCTTTCTCTCTTGCTGTCCCGCCTCTACTGCCCCGATACAGAGCGCTGCCCCCCACGCCCCCGCCACCCACATCAGGTCGTGTCACTCTCTCCTGCTTTGCACATGGCATGCCTTCCGCATCAGCACCCCACCCCTTCTCCACCTTGGCTCTGTGACACTGGTGACTCCCCGCTGAAGGCCTTCCTGGTTCCCATACAGCAGGACAACTCGGCAGAAAGCTAAGTGCAGGGTGTTTTGGGTTTTTTCTTTTAATGTGTATTTATTTTTGAAGGAGAGAGAGGCAGAGAGTGAGCAGGGCAGGGTGGGAGGGGGGCAGAGAGAGAGGGAGACACAGAATCCGAAGCAGCTCCAGGCTCTGAGCTGTCAGCACAGAGCCTGACATGGGCCTTGAACTCATGAACCCCGAGATCATGACCTGAGCCGAAGTCGGACGCTCAACCGACGGAACCCCCCAGGCGCCCCTCAGTGCAGGGTTTTGGAGTCAGACTTGGATCCGGTTCCCCGCTGTGCCAGTGTGGCTAAGTCAGGTGGCTGGCTGTGTCTGTGTAGAGTGAGGGGCCCCAGCTGCTCGCCATGAGCCTGGAGCCACATCGGGTCCTGTGCCGACTCCCGGGGCAGTAGGGAGCCCTAGAGGCTCAGACGGTGGGCTGGCTCAGACTCTTCCAGAACAAGGCCCTATCCCTGCCTTGTCTAGCCCGTGTCCCAGCCAGACGGCGCTTTGCTCATGCTGGTCCCCCCTGATTCCTCCCTCACCTCGACCCAGATACCGCTTCTCCATGAAGCCTTTCTTCACACGCAGACACACACGCCGGGCTGCGGCTGCTGCCAGACCCGGGTACTGGCCCTGCCCGTAGTCCAAGGAGCACTGACTGTTTCCAAACCAAAGACACTTAACAAAGCATTCACTTGGAGCCATGACCGAGCCCCCTCGTCGCTTCCAGGCCCCACAGACCCTCAGACGGAGTGTGGACAGCCTGCACGTGGACACAGACAACCCCTATGCTGTGTCTATGTGGACACGACACCACTGAGCAGACTGCCAGCAGCTGCGCACGTGCTTTTACACACACACGGCAGCGTGGCGTCCGCCTCCCGGACCTTGCTTGCTGGTCTTCGAGCAGATTCCCCATCGGTTCCCGGAGATCAGTCTCGTGCTTTGTACGGGTGAAATAATATTACACTATAGGAACGTGACAGCGGTTATTGAAGCACTCCCGGTTAAGTCACCCCTAGGGTGCCTAGGTTGTTTCCAGCTTGCTGGGACATGGTGTCCAAGCGTCATGTGCCCACAGGCAAGGAGACCCACCAGATCACCTCCTCCAGCTGGAACTGCTAGGCCACCTGCTCTTCTCTTTCCTTTCTGTCCTTTGGCCTTTGGGTAAATGTTATGGAAGCGCAGTACAGACACAGGAAAACGTGAAAACCGAAGGGTTTCCTGAATCTTCACAAAGCACCCGCTTCTGTCACGGGCACCGAGGGCAAGAAACAGAATTATCGGCCAAATCCTAGAAACCCCACCCTGACCCCACCCGGGATAATCCCTATCGTGGTTTCTTTTTCTTTTCTTTTCTTTCTTTATTTTGAGAGAGAGAGAGAGTGTGTGTGAGAGTGCAGGAGGGGCAGAGAGAGAGGAGAGAGAATCCCAAGCAGGCTCCACGCTGTCAGTGCAAAGCTCGACGTGGGGCTCAAACCCATGAACTGTGAGATTTATAACCTGAGCCAAAATCAACAGTTGGACGCTTGGGGGCACCTGGGTGGTTCAGTCGGTTAAGCATCTGACTTCAGCTCAGGTCATGATCTCACGGTTCGTGGGTTCAAGCCCCGCGTCGGGCTGTGTGCTGACAGCCAGCTCAGAGCCTGGAGCCTGTTTCAGAGTCTGTGTCTCCCCCTCTCTCTGACCCTCCCCTGCTCACACTGTCTCTCTCTCTCTCAGAAATAAATTTAAAAAAAACATTAAAAAATAAAAATAATAATTCCTTTAAAAAAAAAGAGCTGGAAGCTTGATATTCTGTCTCCCTCTCTCTGTCTCTCCCCTGCGTGTGCACTCTCTCTCTCTCTCAAAAATAAATAAACATTAAAAAAAAAAAAGAATGGGAAGCTTGACCCACTGAGCCACCCAGGCGCCCCCCCCATCATGGCCTCTAACACCATGGCATACTGAATTGAAACTTGTACAAAGAAAACCCTTCAGTGGGCTCTCTTCTGGGCCTGGTATGTAGCTGCACGTAGTTGGACTTCATGTATTCTTGCTGCTGTAGAGCACACCATGACGCATTGGCCCATTCTGTGGATGGCCATCACAATCGTTTCCAGTCTGGGGCTGCCATGAATAAAGCTGCAGTTAAGATTTTGCTACATGAGTGTGTGTATTTTAAATTTAGAAAGATTGTCAAATGTTCCTCCAGACACAAACTCATGCCTATTTATCCCACCAGCAATGGGCCGCAAAGCCAGTCCCCTATTTCTTCACTAATGCTGGGCCTTCTCAAACTTTCTGACCCTTAGCAAGCTCAGTGGAAAAAAAAAATGAGAACTCATCATGTTATATTGTATTTCTTTGGTGGCGTTTCCTTCAGAGTTTTTCCTGTATTTAAAAGCCATCTTGATTTCATTTTCTGTGAACTCTGGGAAGAATTTTATTTTATTTTATTTACTTAAAAATTTTTTAATGTTTATTTTTTGAGAAAGAGAGACAGAGCACGAGCTGAGGAGGGCCAGAGGGAGAGGGAGACACAGAATCCGAAGTAGGCTCTGGGCTCAGAGCCCAACACAGGGCTCGAACTCACGAACAGTGAGATCATGACCTGAGCCGAAGTCGGACCCTCAATCGACTGAGTCACCGGGGTGCCCCAGAAGGATTTTTAAATGATGGTAGAGAAACTTGAACATGTTTAAATGCTGGAGACAAGGGGCCAGTGGAGAAAAATTAATAATGATGGGGAGAGTAAGAGAGAGAGAGAGAGGAAGAGAGAGGTTGGCGGCAGAAGGGGGTGGGGAAGTACGCGTTGGGGAGGGCCAGGGGCACACAATAGAGGTGCCGGCTTTGTGCAGGAAGAAGGACTTGCCTCATGGGAGACCAGGGGAAGGGAGAG